TCTCCTTCCAATTCTAGTCTTTTTCTTTGTCGATTTGATTTATGCTTAGAATTCATATAGATCAGTACCCCCCCGCATATACGCCTTGCTCGCGTCCCAGACAATTTCAATAGGGGTACCCTTATTCAAATTCATTTCAAAAAATTCCTTCATTTGTTTTTTAAGTTCATTTACATTCTTTTCATATCTAAAAAAATTTTCATTTACTCTCCACGATCTTCTCTCATTCTTTCCCATTTCTATTTCTATCCATACCGGGCTATGGTCAGTTAAAGTCCTCGGAAATATCTTTGTTTTCTTTGTTTTTAAAAGTAAATCAGCCGTAAGTAAAATAAAATCAATCCTAGAGAAGGATCTATGTCTATCTGAGAAGAAAGTAAAGTCCAATTCTTTCGGGTTATGCACTCTCCATATATCTTTCAATTCCAAATCTTCTTTCATGTCAAAAAAGATCTGTGGTAATTTAACACATGACTTTGCCAAACTCTTTTTATCTTTTTTGGGATCTATTACTCCATTCCAATCTCCCATAAGTAAAATAGATCTGTAATTCCATTGTAATATTTTAGAGTACAATATTTTATAAAAATTTTCTTGTTGCTGATTAGGAGCATAAATTCCAATCACCAAAGTTGGACCATTATATGTATAAAGTTCAATTGCTATATATCTTCCACAGTCATCTGCTTCTATAATTTTAGCTGGCAATCTTTTATTTATATAAATCACTACACCATTCTTCTTCTCCGGATTTGAGGCTATGAAATGTGCTCCTAATCTGGAATTTATCAAATATTTTTCATCTTGTATTCTAATATGAGTTTCTTGTAGACAAATAACATCATTATTAAATAGTCTCAGATAATGAAATATTTTCCTTCTTTTCTGTGGTGAGTTCAATCCATTTACATTCCAAGATAAAAACTTAATTGTCATTTGTAGTCTCCTGAAGCGTTAAGAGCATTTGCTGAAGTTTCTGTTCCAGACTGGTAGTCTTCAGCTTAGCTCCTCCCATAGCTTCAGATTTTTGTGTTTTACCATTAACTCCCTTCTTATCTTGCGGTGGCTTAGACCTCTGCTGTTGTTGTTTCTCTAGAATTTGTTTATAAGCTGCTTGAGTTATACGCTGATCTTTAGCTTTATAAGACATCAGATCGAGATCCACTGCCACTTCTTTTGTATTTTTGGGTGGTCCACCTAAAGCCTCTATAGGAAGATCCAGCAAAACGGTTCATCCAAAAAAAACCCTGTTGCTCCTTGAGTTTCCATTGCCTCCACCTCCATCTGTTTCCGCTGTTCTTCAAGCTCTTGTTCAAATTGCTTCTCTTTCTCACCCACCTCTATACCTAACTCTGAGGATGTACGTGGAGATGTTGCGCCAGTTTTAAAAACATTGAAGTAAAATTCTTCCGCTTTTTCAACAGTATTTAATCGATATCTCTCTCCTTGATACCTCAATATTATGCCAACTGGAGCATCCCATCTAAATGGAATTTGTTGTTTCTTTAATTCAGTCACCAAAAATCCAAAATCCTTTCTGTCTCTTAGCATCTTAGGCGGCAACTCTTTGTAAATCCCAATCTCCCTTCCATCCACTTGAATAGTAGAAACAAAAGACTTTTGCAAAATATCATTTCTTATTCTTCTATCTGTGAAGTAGATCACCACATCTCTAGGTAATTGCCTTTGCCTTGCCACCCAAGAATTCACTCTATAGACCTTGTCCATCTTGCACAAAATCTCCTCAGGGCTAATCTTTAGCATCACAGCTAGGGCATCAGCACAAACCCTTCTCAAATCCTCTCTATTGTTTTCTTTTATTCCTCTCAACCTCACAGCAAACTCCATGAATCTATATTGCATCATTGTCACTTCATTTTCAATCCTTTGCATTTTATTATCAACATTAGAAATTTTATAATCAGCTTCCTTCATTTTAGATTCTACTTCTGAACTAAGTTCTTCCACTTTTTTATCAATCTGGACAACTACTTCTGACAAGCCAGTCACAACTGTCAATATATCACGCTTCATCTTGTCATACTTTTCTTGAACCACCTCCTTAATTTCCTGTTGAGATTTTTCAAATTTCTGGTCCAAAACTTCATTTTGATTCATCAGAGCCGCATCAATAAATTCCTTCAAATCTTTAAAACCAGTCTCTTGTGCTTGGCTCTGAGTCTGCAAACTTAGTGACTGCTCTTGTGACTTGTGGGTGGGGGAACCCCCCCCCCTCAGCTTTAATGGCTGGCTTTGTCTGCTTTGAAGCCATTCTGCCACGCAGTCTAACTCTTTCTAAGAAGGAAGTCTTCCCTCCCTTTTCACCACAGAATCCTCTCAAAAATTTCCCCAGCTTTAATCAAGTCTCTATGGGAGAAGGAACAGATCAAAGTCACTTTAAAAATAACTTTTCCCTTTTCTTCTAGCCAGCGCTGTTGCTTTAGATACTTTGTAACATGTTAAAACACTCAGGCAAATCCACTTTCGCTTTCAGCTTTTTTCCTACCGCTGAAGCCGGACGCCATTTTAGCAAACTTTCACTTTTTCTTCATTCTTAAATTCAATCACAGGGCTAATACAAATACTTGCAGTTTTGAATTTCAAGTCCAGATTCCACCCTATTTATTTTTGATGATTCTCTTAGATTTCGCTGGTTATGTTGGTCGCGTCGTCTGGCTCTGCTGGATGCAGAGTTGTCCCCGGAGTCCGGAGCCTCGGCGAGCTGGATAGGGAACCTCACCCTGCTTCCTCCCCAGAAGCAAAAAAGACAATCTGGGGACTTCGCAGGGGGCTCTACCTGGTCTCGCTGGCTCTCCTCCCATTTCCTTAAGAACGTGGAGTTTTTCAAGCCGCCTCTCAGCTATAGAGGCGGCTCTTTACGGGCGGCGGGGCTGGCGGTCTTAAAGAGACCATCTAGTGACGACGACGGCACCAACCGGAAGTGCAATTGTTTATTTATTATTATTTATTAGTCGCATTTCTATGCCGCCCAACTCCCTAGGGACTCTGGGCGGCTTACAGCAAAAAAACAGTGCGAACAATATCCCGTAAAAATTTTTTAAAAGAACATTAAAAACCCATATACTCCATTCCATGGCCGAGTCTCGCAAGATTGCGAGATCCGGCCATGGATTGGTGGAATTGGTGGAAACTAATCAAGGAGAGAGGCAACTTAGAACTAAGGAGAAATTTCCTGACAGTTAGAACAATTAATCAGTGGAACTGCTTGCCTCCAGAAGTTGTGAATGCTCCAACACTGGAAGTTTTTTAGAAGATGTTGGATAACCATTTGTCTGAAGTGGTGTAGGGTTTCCTGCCTAAGCAGGGGGTTGGACTAGAAGACCTTCAAGGTCCCTTCCAACTCTGTTATTCTATGATTCTATCTCTGTGGGGGTTTTCTGAGAGCTGATTTGCTGTCTGCTGAAAACTGAACTGCTATTTTCATTTTCTGAAATCCACTTACCTTCGCTACCGGTTCGGGAATGGGAGTGCGTGGGAGCGCACATTCACTACACGCATGTGCCCCTTCTACACATGTGCAGAGCCTTCTGCGCATGCACAGAAGGTCAAAAATGGGACATAATGATGTCCCAGTGGGTGGGCGGAGCCTCCCGCCATCGGTGCTATCAGTTCACGCGAGCCGAATAGATCCAGCCGGATTTCACCGCTGGCTTAAGGGCATTTTTTTAAAATAAAAAAGGGGTTGCTTCACTTGGAGAAATATCTTCCTTTACCATTTAATGCAAATGTGGGAAACCACTTGATCAAATGATGAAATATATGCTGCACCTTCTCATGACTAAATTGGAACATGGCTGTTACCTCTGAGTATTTCTCCCCATTTCTTTTTCCATTTGATTTCTCTTTCACCAAACTAAACAGGAATGGGCAGAAAAACAGCAGGATAGTTGCTTCGCACAACACCAACATGCGTTTCCACACAAACCTCATTATTCAATGGCACCAGTTTTCTCAGGTTTATTTAGCTCACAATCATTAGCAAAAATAGCCCTCCTTAATTTTGCATGATTTAAAATAATAATAATAATAATAATAATAATAATAATAATAATAATAATAACAACAACAACAACAACAACAACAACAACAACGCCATGACCGTGTTGCTAAGATCATTCACTGGAAATTGTGCCAGAAGTTTGGATTTGAGTACAGCAAAAACCACTGGGAACATCAGGTTGAGAAAGTTTTAGAGATTGAGAAACTCAAGATCTTGTGGGACTTTAGGATTCAGACTGACAGGCACTTGGTCCACAACACACCTGACATAACAATAGTTGAAAAGAAAAAAGTATGGTTCATTGACATTGCAATACCTGGTGATGCACGGATTGAAGATAAGCAGCAAGAAAAAATCACAAAGTACCGGGACTTGCAAATTGAAGTTGAGCGACTGTGGAAAAAGAAATTCTGTGTTGTCCCGCTACCCCGCTATTTAGAAATTCTAAATTTGCCAGACTTGAACATTTTGACTCTACAAAAACCACCTTACTCGGAACAGCTTACATCCTCCGATGATACCTTAACAGTTCCTAGGTCCTTGGTTAGGACTCGAGCTGCTGAGCTATTAACCAGCCTCAAAGGCTGTGAATCTCACTAAAGATTAACCCATCATCATCATCATCATCATCATCATCATCATCATCACCTCTGCATAAATGCAGAGACTCTGGCATAAACCAGTGCAGGTGGTTCCAGTGGTACTCAGCACACTGGGTGCTGTGCCTAAAGACCTAGGCAAGCACTTAAAAACAATTGGCGCTGACAAGATCACCATTGGTCAGCTGCAGAAAGCCATCTTACTGGGATCTGCTCGCATAATCCGCCAATATATCACACAGTCCTAAATGCTTGGGAAGTGTTCGACTAGTGATTTGAGATGCGAAATCCAGCATGGTTGTTTTGTTTGCTGTCTATACTGTCAAGTTTGTGTATAATAATAATAATAAACTCCCTTCTTTTTTTAATCTTAGGTGAACATGGCAAACAATGTCCTGTGGGAAAATAAAAGTTCTGTCTCTGAATTCATCCTTCTGGGTTTCTCAACCAAGCTGCAAACTCAACGGTTCCTTTTTGTTCTCTTCCTCCTCCTGTATCTGATGATTGTGCTGGGCAACGGTCTCATTATCAACCTCATCAGGTTAGACTCTCGTCTCCACACACCCATGTACTTCTTCTTGGCCAACCTCTCCTTCTTGGACATCAGTTACAGTTCTACCACAATGCCCCAGATGCCCTCATCTCCTTTTAAAGAGAAAAGTCATCTCCTTTGCTGGCTGTACTGCTCAAATGTACATCTTCCTGTCTTTGGGGATAACTGAATGCGTTCTCTATGCCGTGATGGCCTACGATCGATATGTAGCCATCTGCCACCCATTACACTACACTAGCATGATGAGCAAGTCAGTTTGTGTTAAGATGGCAGTCGGGTCCTGGGCCTGTGGCTTCCTCTTTGCCATGATGCACACCGGCTTCACTATGCGCTTGCCTTATTGTGGACCAAACGAGATCAACCACTTCTTTTGTGAAGTGCCAGCTATCTTGGAATTAGCTTGTGCCGACACACACGTTAATGAGGTGGTGGACTTTGTGTTGGGGGTGATCCTACTCATGACCCCACTTTCTTTGATTGTGACCTCTTACATGTTCATCTTGAGCACTATCCTGAAGATCCGCTCTGCAGAAGGGAAGTTCAAAGCTTTCTCCACCTGCACCTCACACATTACAGTGGTGACTCTCTTCTACGGAGCTGCCATGTTTATGTACATGCGCCCAGCTTCCAGCTATAAGCCAGAAAGAGACAAAAAGTTTTCTCTCTTTTACAATGTGGTATCTGCTCTTTTGAACCCATGTATTTACTCTCTAAGAAACAAAGAGATCAAAGGAGCCCTCTGCAAATGGATTTGCATACAATAAATGAACATGTATATTATTTATTAAAAGGGGAAAGGTAAACAAGAGGACTATTTTATAACCATGCTATAATTTATGCAGGATACAAGAATGAGCCCCCAACTCACAAGGACACTGCTTTTGTCTATCTATATCAGTGTTGGCGAACCTTTTCAGCACCAAGTGCAAAAATGGGAGTGTGCGGGCAGGTGGGAAGGGGGGAGCGCTGGAAACTGGAAGAGCAGTTCTGAGCTTCTGGTTTCTGGCATGCACATGCACACTGGTCACCTGGTCTTCCAGTTTCTGGTGCACATGCATGCGTGAAAACCAGCTGGCCGGTGCACATATGCATGCTGGAACCCGGAAGAGCAACGGGCAGTGGCTGGCATGCCCGGAGAGATGGCTTTGTGTGCCACTTCCGGCATGTGTGCCATAGGTTCCCCATCACCGTTCTATACACTGGGCTACAGATAAGAAAATAATTTTCCAGATAGACATTCTAGCATATTTCTATAATATTCACTCGTATGTTAATGTTCACAAGAAGGCTGTGAGTTCTAGTTCCATTTTGGGCATAAAGCCAGCTGGGTGACATTGGTCCAATCCTTCTCTCTCAGCCCTAGGAAGGAGGAATCAAGGGCAAACCACTGACGCTGAAAATATTTTATTTATTTTATTTATTTTATTATTGAATTTCTATACCGCCCTTCTCCCTGAGGACTCAGGGCGGTGTACAGCCAAAATTAAAAAACATGCAGGACAAATATTAAAAAACAATTAAAAGATATATAAATTTGGCCCAATTAAAACTCATTACCAATTAAAACGTTTAAAACATTTAAAAACAATTAAAAATTTCATCTTAAACCAGCCCGGCTTGCTTGAAAAAATGGGTTTTAAGGGCACGACGGAAGGCACTGAGGTCCTGGATTCTCCTTATCTCTGGGGGGAGCTGATTCCAGAGGGTAGGTGCCTCCACAGAGAAGGCCCTCCCCCTGGGGGTCACCAGCCTACACTGTCTGGCTGATGGCACCCTGAGGAGGCCCTCTCTGTGGGAGAGCACAGGTCGATGGGAGGTCGTCGGTAGCAGCAGGCGGTCTCGAAGATAGCTAGGCCCTATGCCATGGAGCGCTTTGAAGGTGATAACCAACACCTTGAAGCGCACCCGGAAGACCACCGGGAGCCAGTGCAGCTCGCGCAGGAGCGGAGTTACATGGGAGAGCCATGCTGCTCCCGTCACTACCTGTGCTGCTGCATTCTGGACCAGCTGGAGCCTCCGGGTGCTACTCAAGGGGAGCCCCATGTAGAGAGCGTTGCAGTAGTCAAGGCCAGAGGTGACGAGGGCGTGAGTGACTGTGCACAGGGAATCCCGATCAAGAAAGGGCCGCAACTGGCGAATCAGGCGAACCTGACAAAAGGTCCTCCTGGTTACAGCCGTCAGATGTTCCTCTAAGGACAGCTGCATATCCAGGAGGACTCCCAGATTGCGAGCCCTCTCTGTGGGGGCCAATGACTCGCCCCCAATAGTCAGTGATGGAGTCAACTGACTATATCGGGATGCCGGGAGCCACAGCCACTCAGTCTTGGAAGGGTTGAGCTTGAGCCTGTTCCTCCCCATCCAGACCCGCACAGCCTCCAGGCACTGGGACATCACTTCAAGGGCATCGTTGGGGTGGCCTGGGGTGGAGATGTACAGCTGGGCGTCATCAGCGTACTGGTGGTATCTCACCCCAAAGCCACAGATGATCTCACCCAGCGGCTTCACATAAATGTTGAACAGAAGGGGCGAGAGGACCGATCCGTGCGGCACTCCACAAATGAGAGGCCTCGAGGTCGACCTCTGCCCCCCTGCCAACACAAACTGCGACTGGTCGGAGAGAAAGGAGGAGAACCACCGTAACACGGTGCCTCCCACCCCCAACTCTTCCAGCCGGTGCAGCATGATACCATGGTCGATGGTATCAAAAGCCGCTGAGAGGTCTAACAGGACCAGAACAGAGGAGCAACCCCTGTCCCGAGCCCTCCAGAGATCATCAACCAATGCGACCAATGCTGTTTCCGTGCTGTGCCCAGACCTGAAACCCGAGGAAGGGTTTCCTATTGCCAAGGAAACTTCTGTGACTTTTCCAGGCAGTCACCCAAGAATCAATAGTCAAAAGTACCACAAAACCAGGGGTGGTATTCACTTACCTTTGCTACCGATTCGCAAATGGGAGTGCACACGCCACCTCTATGCATGCACAGGACCTTCCGCACATGCACAGAGCATCAAAAACGGGACGTGATGATGTCCGGGCAGGTGGGTGGGCGGAGCCTCCCACAGCCGCCGCTACCGGTTCACCCGGACCGGATAGAACCAGCTGAATACCACTACTGCACAAAATTTTAAAAGTAAGGTTAAGGTTAAGGTTAAGGTTAAGGTTTATTAAATTTGTATACCGCCCTTCTCCCGAAGGACTCAGGGCAGTGAACAGCCAAGAAGTAAAATGTTCCATTGTGTGAAAGTAAATATTATAGCTTTTTTAATTGCTACACAGCAGATTGATTCGTTCTTAAGAAGGTAGTTAGATGAGCTGATTTCCTTAAAGAGACTAGCTGGAAAGTTAAGAAAGAAAGAAAAAAAAAATAGAAGTTAGGAGCTATGTTTGAATTTTTAAAAAATGATACACCCCAAAATTATAATTACTGGGTAAAAATAGCTTTGTTAGAATGGATGATGGCATGGGTCCAGGTTACCTGAAGAACCATCTCATCCAGTAAAATTTGTTACTACTGGTTCTGTGGGCGTGGCTTGGTGGGGGGGAAGAGGTTGTAGAAGAGGTTGTAGAAAAAATGCTTTTAAAAGCCTCTGACAATCAAGCAGCTCAGCTGGGATCGTCAGAGGTTGTAGAAAAAATACTCTTAAAAGGCTCTGACGATCCCAGCTGAGCCACGCAATCATCAGATCTTTTTTTTTTAGTTTTAAAAGCATTTTTTCAGCCGAAGAGGTTGTAGAAAAAATGCTTTTAAAAGCCTCTTACGATCCCAGTTGAGCTGCGCAATCATCAGATCCTTTTTTTTTTACTTTTAAAAGCATTTTTTCAGCTGAAGAAGTTGTAGAAAAAATGCTTTTAAAAATAATAAAAGAAGCCTCTGATGATCACGCGGCTCAGCTGGGCATGGGGGGGGGCAGGGATTTTTGCTATCGGTTCTCCGAACCACCCATCGCCATCGCTACCAGATTGGGCGATCCTGTCCAAACTGGGAGCATTTCACCCCTGATCTTATCCCAATGGGATTGGCCCGTCCCACTCATTTTGGCAGGAGAGGCCTACCACCAACTCCATTGGCCAAGAATTTTAGTTGGTGGAGTCCATGAGAAGAGCCTTTTCTGCCATGGTCCCCGCCCTTTGGAACATCTTGCAACCAGAGGGAGATCTGCCCTCACCATTCTGGACTTCAAGAACAGCCTTAAAACCTGGCTCTGCCAGTTGGTATGAGGCCCTGATGGAGACGCTCTAGGCCGGAGGTAGGTTGGTGAAATGACAGAGAAGGTGCCATTACCACTGCTGTGCTCCAAACCAATGGTCTCTTAGTTTGTATTTAATATTTGGTGATTTTAATGTGTTTTTATACTTATAATTGTCTTTATACCTCCATGTTTCATTATCTTGTAAGCCATTCAGTCACTTCCAACTGCGAGATGGGTGGCATATAATTTTAATTAATAAATAAATTGTTGGAATGGTAAACTAAATACAGTTCCGTCTACAGTTTTGTGATGTCCACATTATTTTGCTGATTATTGTTTATGTTCCCTTCATCCAAATCAATAAATTAATCAATCAACCTCTGGAAAACTGCATCCAGTTTTGGTCGCCACGATGTAAAAAAGATGTGGAGACTCTAGAAAGAGTGCAGAGAAGAGCAACAAAGATGACTAGGGGGCTATGGGTTAAAACCTATGAAGAACAGTTGCTGGAATTGGGTATGTCTAGTTTAATGAAAAGAAGGACTAGGGGTGACATGATAGCAATTTTCCAATATCTCAGGGGCTGCCACAAAGAAGAGGGAGCCAAGCTATTCTCCAAAACACCTGAGGACAGGACAAGAAGCAATGGGTGGAAACTAATCAAGGAGAGAAGCAACTCAGAACTAAGGAGAAATTTCCTGACAGTTAGAACAATTAATCCGTGGAACAACTTGCCTCCAGAAGTTGTGAATGCTCCAACACTGGAAGTTTTTAAGAAGATGTTGGATAACCATTTGTCTGAAGTGGTGTAGGGTTTCCTGCCTAAGCAGGGGGTTGGACTAGAAGACCTCCAAGGTCCCTTCCAACTCTGTTATTCTTTTCTGTCCTCTTTTAAATAAACTTGTTAGTGCAGCAGATTGGAGTCAGAATGGCTGGAATATTAGATACGAGCCTATCCAGTCTAATCATCAAAGATGATGGTTTGCTACCATATACACTTAGACCTCTATTCATAGCCATTCAGTTAGTGACTCTTCGAAGTTATGTCACTGAAAAAAAGGGACTTATGGCCAGTTTTCACACATATGATTGTTGCAGCATTTCCATGGTCACATGATCAAAATTTGGGAGCTTGATGCAGTTATTATGGGTGCATTGCCCCAGGATCACATGATCACCATTTGTAACCTCCCCACCAGTGGTGAGTTTCAAAATTTTTTACTATCAGTTCTGTGGGTGTGGCTTGGTGGGCGTGGCAGGGGAAGGTTACTGCAAAATCCCCATTTCCTTCCGATCAGCTTGGACTTTGGAGGCAAAGAATAGATGGGGATGGGGCCAGTCAGAATTTTTCCAACCGGTTCTCCGAACTCCTCAACATTTCCGCTACCGGTTCTCCAGAACTGGTCAGAACCTGCTGAAACCCACCTCTGCTCCCCACCCTAGCCGGCTTCTGACAAGCAAAGTCAATGGGGGAAGCCAGATTCACTTAACAACTGCAGTTATTTGCTTAACATCTGTGGCAAAAAGGTCATAAAGTGGGGCAAAACTCACTTTACAACTGCCTTGCTTAGCAATGGAAATTTCGGAGTCAATTGTGGTCATACGTAAAGGACTACCTTCATTTCATTGTCACTCTGCTTCTCAACATCTCCAGGGCAATTACTCACTTTGGTGAGTCCTAAATTAAAGCCTTGGGAATAGTGAGTGAAGTCTCTAAAGCCTGATACCTTAGAAGATTTTTTTTTCATCCCAGAGGTGTGAGATTTTCAGTTGCCTGACTGAGGCAATAATTAATCATCCATTCTTTCAAAACAAAACAATTACTTAACCATAGCTTGTTCAACATAGCAGAAGTTACTGGACAGTGGAAAGTATTTTATTGTAGGAATGCAATGAAGCACCAGGAGAAAGCCCGAAAATCATGTATGAACGTAATATGTATTACCTAGCAGGAAATAATGGCTTTGGGATTGACACTGGGTTGTGGTAAAGAATATTTGGATCATCAGACTTCACTTTAGCCCCAATTTCTTCAGGGCAAAGATTGTAATACAAAGCTGGATGATTGAATGCATAGGTAAGAAAGCAAGTATGGGCGTGAGACACAATCTTGATGCTTAGAATAATAATTGGAGTCCTGTGGGGGAAAAAAATCAAATGCATTTCCAGAAGAGAAACCTACATTTTTTTTCAGCCAGAGACTGAAACTGCAGATGTAATAATGAAAGGACATCTGTTCAGGTCCGCAACATTCTTTAAAGAAATGGGTAGAATTTAAAGCCAAGATATTTTTCCTAATACTGAAGAACTGTTTTTTTTAAAAAAAAAAAAACCTGTTTGATAGTGGAAGATAGCTCAGCAAAGGATTCAAAGATGTTCTGACAGCAGGTGTATGTGCTTGTATGTGTGTTCATGTGTGTGTCTGTATATACGTTCCAAAAAACTCCTGCTTTTTCAAGAGGCAACTGGACTTTCTTGTTTTTTCTTTTGAAGACGTTTCGCTTCTCAGCCTCTTTAGCTCTGAGTGGATGGTGAGGAATGGAAAGATTTATATTCCTTGCAGACAGCTGGTCACTTGCATCCTTTTAGAGGGTACTTGAAGCACTTGGAGGTTTATCTGTGTCCTCAGGGCCACCTGAGTAGTACAAATGGTTCCTGTAGTCTGTAATTTTTCCTCTGGAAATCCATTCCTACTCCCACACCATTCAAAGGGTGTTCATCCCAAATTGTACAGCTAAACGTCTGTAGAGATTCTCAGTCATGACCTGGATGACTGAGAATCTCTGTAGATGTCTGTCTATGTGATTCTTATACAACTATTACCAGCTTTGATTTAATTTTTATTTATTTATTTTATTTGTCAAGCATATACAGTATAAGATAACAGATAAAAGTATAAACATGATTACGAATACAGGAATTGTATACAAATACATGGGAACAGTAGGAGAGGGACGGTAGACATGTTGGTGCGTTTAAGCACGCCCCTTACAGACCTCTTAGGAATGGGGTGAGGTCAACAGTAGACAGTCTAAGGTTAAAGTTATGGAGGTTTGGGGGTGTAACCATAGAGTCAGGTAGTGCATTCCAGGCATTGACCACTCTGTTGCTGAAGTCATATTTCCTGCAATCAAGTTTGGAGCAGTTTACCTTAAGTTTGTATCTATTGTGAACTCGTGTATTGTTGTGGTTAAAGCTGAAGTAGTCATTGACAGGTAGGACATTGTACCAGATAATTTTATGTACTATGCTTAGGTCAGACTGAAGTCGGCGTAGTTCTAAGTTGTCTAAGCCCAAAATTTTAAATCTGGTGGCATAAGGTATTCTATTGCAAGCAGAGGAGTGGAGGACTCTTCTCATGAAATATCTCTGCACTCTCTCAATTGTATTAATGTCCGATATGCAGTGCGGGTTCCAGACAGATGAGCTGTATTCAGGAATTGGTCTAGCAAATGTTTTGTATGCTCTAGTTTTTTTCATCTCAACCTCCCATGATTTTCTAGTTTTAATTCCAATATCTTCTGTTATGTTTTCAGAGGAACTCATAATGGAATAATGAACAGAACTTTGTGGACTGAATTCATTCTTCTTGGACTTCTGAATCACACGGTGATGCATACAGTTTTTTGGGGGGCTATCCTATTGACTTTTTTTGTTGCCTTACTGGGAAACTTTATTTTCTTTTTTGTAATTGTCACAGGTTCATATTCCAGTGTCCCTATGTACTTTTTCCTCAGCCAGCTCTCCTTTATAGACATCTGCCAGACTTCTAGCATTGTCCCCAAAATGTCCATGGATTTTTGGAAAAAAGACAATACAATTTCATTGGCTGGATGTGGGACTCAGATTTTTTCCACCCTCATGATGGGAGGAGCAGAGTGCCTCCTACTGACCGTCATGTCTTATGACAGGTACGTGGCCATCTGCAAACCGTTGCACTATCCAGTTCTCATGAACAGGAGGGTATGTGTGACCATGTCGGGTGGAGTCTGGTTTGGGGCGATTCTTCATTCAATCGTGCACACTTTTTGTGTGCTCCAGCTGCCTTTCTGTAAGTCTAATAGAGTGAATCAGTTCTTCTGCACAGTCCAAGCTCTGCTGAAATTATCTTGTTCGGAAACATCTACCTATGAAAATTGGTTGTTCGTAACTGGCAGTATATTACTCTTGGGTCCCTTCTCCATCATCCTGGCTTCCTACATCTGTATCCTTTTGACGGTCCTGGGAATGCAATCAGTGGAAGGAAGGCAGAAAGCATTTGGTACATGTCTTTCCCACCTCTGTGTGGTGGGGCTCTTCTATGGGGCAGCAGGTTTTAAATATATGAGACCCAGGTCTTACCGAACACCAGAACAGGATAAGGTGGCCTCTTTGTTCTGTGACATTGTGACTCCCATGCTGAATCCCTTGATATACAGTTTGAGGAACCGTGATGTCCTAGTAGAACTGAGAAAGCACATTCAGAAATGTAAGTTGCATATCTAGCCCACCTAACAAGGGCCACATCGGAGCCAATCGATGTGGCTATTTGGAAGAGAACAAAAGGAGAAAAATATTATGTAGCAGTCATGAGTAGCAATTACTAATAATCTAATCCTCTATGAAATCATCAAAGCTATTTAATTTAGTGGCTATTGCATCTTGTAATAGTGGAGTTCATACTGAAATTACAGCAGAGGTGAGTTTCAGCAGGTTCTGACCAGTTCTGGAGAACCGGTAGCAGAAACTTTGAGTAGTTCGGAGAACCGGTAGTAAAAATTCTGACTGGCCCTGCCCCCATCTATTCTCTGCCTCCCAAGTCCCAGATGATCAGGAGGAAATGGGGATTTTGCAGTATCCTTCCCCTGGGTTGGGGACGGAATGGAGATTTTACAGTATCCTTCCCCTGGAGTGGAGTGGGAATGGAGATTTTTACAGTATCCTTCCCCTGCCATGCCCACCAAGCCATGTCCACCAAGCCACACCCACAGAACTGGTAGTAAAAATTTTTGAAACCCACTACTGAATTATAGTATACGCTAAACTATGTGAGGTTGGGACTCCTTTTGTTTGTCTTATATTATTCAGTTCATATTAAAAAATGGGAGAAAAATGTCTCCATACAATGCATAATTTTACATTACACCAACACTCTGAGTCATGGAAGATCATTAGATGGTCCTATCTGAGCCATAGAATCTTATAAAGCAAGAATGTTCCTATCCTGCTTTCTGGAAAATATGAGAGTGTGTGGTTTCCTAAAATTAAAATTATGCAAGCTGTCAAACCGCTTGATATTTTAAAATCCCTATATGTTGCTTAAGTTTGTTTTGTAATGTGTTTGTGTAAGGATATTGTCATGGCTCTGGTCTCCAAAAGTAGCCCCATAAATTTTATTGAAGTCAACCATTGCAACAACCAAGTTGACAGAGGAAATATGATTGAATTGTTGAGGGGCATATGGTCTTCTGTTAGTATCACTAATACATCTTCTTCAACCTTGGGAAGGACTGTCTGATACTAGGGAATACCAGTCTACTCCCAAATACCTCCCTTGTGGCCCAGCAGCCTCATTGTCCCACTTCACTTTTAAATTGTGTTGAAAAAAATAAATAAACAAGTGTCTAAAATTGTAGTTCTTTGCAGCAATATTGTGGCCTCCACAAATGCACCACCAAGATGGTAGTGTGTTAAAGTAATGTTTTGGGGTAGTTTATCCCTTCCCATAAAGGGGGCACTATGGCTCAGTGGTTAAAGACCCTGAGCTTGTCAGCAGGAAAGCTCACAGCCTGGGTTCAAGACCCGAGTGCTACACAATGGGGTGAGTTACCGTTCTTTGCCCCAGCTTCTGCCACCAAGAAGTTTGAAAGTATGAAAATGTGAGTAGATAAATAGGTATCACTTTGGTGGGAATGTAACAGCATTCCATGCGCCTTGGTGTATAGTCATGCTGGCCTCATGACCCCGGAAAGTGTTCTTGGCAACATTTAATCCCCTAATTTTTAGTTATGGTTCATAATATTAGAATGAATAGAAGTATGTTGAGATAATTTATATAAAATATAGAATATTATGTAATTATGAATGCCAGATAGCATTGGCTGTTGTGTTCAGATCACATTCTGCAAAAATGCCTTGCTTTGGCTAGTCTGCTGAGGCAGCAGATCTGTCTTTATATAGCAAAACCATACTTAGAAAAATAAAGAAACAGTATAAACAATACTATTGAGGTTTAAAATATTTCATTTAGAAATTAGAAAGCATTATGGGTTAGAAACAACAACAAAAACATTTTAATTATAACCCAAGAATATGTGGATCATTGATAAAAAGTCCATCTGGACTTTGCAGTGGTTAGAATGAAGTACTATTGGCTACTTCTGCTGACTGCCAGCTGCCTGCAATTTGGCAGTTCGAATCTCACCAAGCTCAAGATTGACTCAGGCTTCCATCCTTCTGAGGTGGGTAAAATGAGGAGCCAGATTTTGGGGGGCAATATGCTGACTTTATCAACTGCTTAGAGAGGGCTGTATAGCACTATAAAGCGGTATATAAGTCTAAGTGCTATTGCTATTTAATATGGAATTGCAGATTAAACAAAAAATAAGGTCCTTGTGCAATACTAATGCATGTTTTGCTGGAACATTTTTTAGTGGGAAAGTTGCAATTGAATTTCTGCAGGTGATGATCATAACTCTTCCGAGTCATGCTCCCAACTCCTGACATACTTTCCCAAGTTTCTCTGATAACTGGTTGTTTTTATTTGCATTGTCTGGTTGGCATGCAGCTTTTGATAGTTTGTCATTGTGAGCTAACAACACCATGAGCTGCTCCCAAACTTGTATCTGGAGTCATAGCCAAATGATTCTTCTGTAAGTAAATTATTCTTCAATAAACAAGTAAATTCTTCCACAATAAATTATTCTTTTATGCATTGTGGATATTAATTGCTGCCCTTATGGCAGATTTCATGGAAGTTTCAATCCAACCATGTGGATGAGCTGTGTATTCACCAGCAAAGTGGATCCTCCCTTCATTCTGGGCCAGTATCTGAGAATAATGGGTAATCTGGTATGGGGTGTATGTGCTGAATGCTCCCATAGAGTATTGGTCAAGGGTCCATTTTTGTACCACATATTTGCCACAGACCGATTTGAGATAAATTTTAGATACTTGATGGATTTCCACAAGATCATCCATCACCACATCAACACACTTTTCATCACTGAGTGTCGTATAGAATTCAGAGTCAGAATACCAAGTATAGGATGCCAGAAGGACGCCTATTCCGTGGGGGAAGTTATGATTTGGATAGTAAATTGTTCGTGATGGGAGATCTGTGATTGATCTCCCTCCGTGGATCCCCTCCTTCTCCCAAAACTTCTCAGTGCAAACCAAGGCAATTTTAGTAGCACTTGCATAAGTCAAAGACCGTAATGCCCGGGTTTTGGGAATGGAAAGAGGTGGCACAAACTTGATGAGTCGTGCGGCTCTTGCTGTAGCTGTGATGAGGACATAGTCAGCAACCAGAGATGTAGACCTGGACAACCATTTGTAGAAGACTCTCACTTTGTTTTTGGCACGAACTATCTTCTCCACAGTGCAACTGAAATGTACAATTTTAACCATTTCCCGGAAGAAACTTTGAGGAAGTTGATCAAATCCACCAGTAATTTCATCAAAACTGAATTTGAGAGAAGGAAAAAAACAAATACAAGTACAGTTTATCAGTTATTTCTAAGTTATCTCAAAAAATGTTCCTTGTTTCTGAAGAGAATGCAATTAATGTCAACTCTGAAACGGGTCAGGCCTATCGCAGCCATCTTTCCATTTCCAAAGTCACCACACAGCTTGGGGGAGGAGGAGGGGAAGAGGCTTGGAATGCCGACCTGCCAAAACAATTTGCTATCTCCTGGGAACCAAGGTCATCCCAACCGCCACTGACTAGAGACTGAACCCCGTTGCCAAGGAGATGACACAGCACCCAAATTGGACAACAGGACCTGCCACCTAGGAGGGAGGGGGGATGCTTAACTTTTAACTATGCAAAAGAGCGGGAAATAGCCAGAGTTGTTTTTAAGCTCGTCTGTGCCCAATTGATGTACTCAATATATTAGTGCTTTGAAGAAGATGGAGTTTCAGAGTACTGATTTACTTGGGTTCATCAGTCAGAACCTTGACAATACTTGACAATGCAGTCCAATACTAGTTATTTTAGCCCATCTACTTGAAGTCAAAGATTAGTTTCTGTTTCTGTTCAGTACTATTTTAACTGTCATAATCGCCAAGAAGATAGTAAATATAATTTATATTCAAAAAAAAGCTAGAGAAAAATTTTTAACTATCAAAATAAATAACAAGAAATGCACTAAATGAAAGAAATAATACATGAAATAAACTATTTTAAAAAGTAGCCTTTGGTCCCCCTCCCCCTTCCCACCATCTTGTTTACCTGCTATTCGAAAAAATGAAATGATCCATAACAGAAATAAGGAATGAGTTATGAAATCCAGATTCTTCATTCAGGAAATCACCAATCATCTCAACAGCTCCTTTGCTCAAATTTCCTTCCTTAATGAGATATTCCTAATATACAAAGAACATTTGATGGGGGAAATACTGAATTTTGTCACTCATGAATATACAGTAGAATTCTTCTTTGATTGCACGGATCTAATGCAAAGGCAGACAACCTTAGGAGGTCAAGAACCGAAGTTTCTGGAAAAGTGCAGTAGGCAGGTGAATGAGGGAAGCAATACATCCATAGGCTACCACAATGATAGCAAACATATGACACATGTGTCAAAGGCAGGGGTGAAATCCATCAGGTTCTGACAGGTTCTGGAGAACCAGTAGCAGAAATTTTGAGTAGTTCGGAGAACCGGCAAATACCACCTCTGACTGGCCCCAAAGTGGGGTGGGAATGGAGATTTTGCAATATCCTTCCCCTGGAGTGGGGAGGGAATGGAGGTTTTGCAGTATCCTTCCCCTGCCATGCCCACCAAGCCATGCCCACAGAACCAGTAGTAAAAAAATTTGGATTTCACCACTGGTCAAAGGTGACACTCCCTGATGTTTTGGGTGACATGCCAATGTTCACCCACATCCAACAACAACTATTCTCGAAAGCATGCCCCATTCTCATGTGATTTTCTGGGGGGGTGACCTTGGAGGTCATGCAAGAGGACTATGCTCTTGTATGTCATTTGGAGCCTCTGAAAATCAGGTGAGAACGGGACAGGATTTCTCATGGATTTTGTAGGCTGCAAAGGCTGCAGAAGAGCATTCTTTGAAGCCACTTTACGAATGAAGCTGTAAGAGACGCCTCCCGTTAGCTGCAGGGTATGCCAACAGAAAGAAAATACCACATGAAGGTAAGTGGCATGTGGCAGATCCTGAAAAGTGTGGATCGCAGGGGCAATCCCCAACGTCCATGACGCTTTCTGCCTCAAAACAATAAGAAGTTATACTGGCAATTCCGCCCTACACCCTGACAACAGCAGGGGAAAAGGAATTAAATTCTCTTTCTACAAAACCAGTTATGTTGTTAATTGTAGGAGAAGAACAGGCAGAATGAGGTGGGGTGAGTGGGTGGAGTTATGTGCATCATCAGCTCAGAGTCATTAGGTTCCCACAATTTTTTTTTTTTTAATTTGATTTATATGCCGCCCTTCTCCGGAGACTCAGGGCGGCTTACAATGTGCTAAGCAATAGATAGTCCAAGTCCATCCCCTTCTGAATTCCATTCACCCTTATCTAGCTCTAATGTAATGCTGAATCTTAGCTGACCGGATTCTTCGGTGTAGGCTTGAATAAATCTTCTATGCTGCATTTTAATGGATTGTCCTGATCCTTTGACCTTGACATTAATATAGGATGATGCACAGTGAGTAAAGGATGAATGCAGGTGTCAATTTTTATTTTTTAGTAATCTCTTTGTACAATTCTGTCAGCTGCAGGTGTTTTCATTTCCTTTGGGGTTTTTTCCCCCACTGATAAATTCAACCAGGCAATGCCCTACCATTTTGAGCAGTTCTAACCATATTCATAATAAAATGTATATCAGTTTGATATACATTTCTCCAAATATATTTTTCTTTTCTTTAAAATTTTGATAAACATGGCTAGGCTTGGCAATTAATTTTGTACAATATATTTTGTACATTGCTTCTTAATACATCTAATTTTCTGCAAGTTTCTTCTGATAGATTTTTTTTAAATTGGCAAACTACATTGCGAACTTGAAAAACCATGGACTTTACCGGAGTTGCAGTTCATCCATTAGACTGGTTCAAAACTGCATTGTCAGTTGAATGTGACCGTTTCCCTTATTATTAGTGTTGAAAAGCTATAGCAAGTTATTAATGTGGTTCACTCTTCTTTAATCCCATTCTCCTAACCCTAGACTCAGGGGTGGGCTTCAGATCCTTTAGCAATGGATTCGCTGGGTGGGTGTGGCCATGGTTGGCATGGCCTAGTCGGCTGCCTGCACCACGGTGAGTGAGGGCATTTTTGCCCTCCCCAGGTTCCGGGGGCTTTTTTTGAGCCTCTGGGAGGGCAAAAACTGCTTCCCCCAGGGTCCAGAGGCCCTCTGGAGGCCAGAAACAGGCCCATTTCCAGACTTCTGGACCTCCCGGTAGGCCTGTTTTTTGCCCTCCCAGACCCTCTGCACTGCCTCTGCACTTACCTGGAATGATGAACGGGCTGTGTGGAGACTCCTGGGAGGGGTGGGGTGGGCATGGCCAGCCAGGGGTGGCATTTGGGGGTTCGCCAAACCCCGGCAATCCTTGGCTACAGGATCGCCCGAACCCTGCCGAACCCCCACCCCTGCCTAAACTGCTGATGTTATTTTTATAATCATATTATTGGGAACAACATAATCATCTGAAGAAGATTTTTCACTTTGTAAGAAGAATGAATAATAACATCAGTTTTACCTTTGTGGAAAATGAATCATATTTTTCCTTCAGAAGAGTACAGTTGTCTGTGACCTGAGTAGGAGAATACATATAGTTAGTTGCAACTTCCTTCCAGTTTGCATTTGCCTTGAAGTTTGAACTAAGTTGGTCTCCCCATATAAATGAAGCAAAATATATATATATCTCCTGTTTTGCTTTGTGTAATTTGTATCACTACTTGAATGTTCTCCTTTGCTCATTAAGAAGACCTGCTCTCTTTTGGGAAAACACATCTGAGAAGGGATGACCACTTTCACATTAAATGCAGCCTCTGTTTTCACCTGATTCCTATGAAACAGGAAAATTAATATCCTGTATCTAATACCAGCTTGCAACTTTTCTAGGACATTTGCCAGATTGACATGTTAGATGATAGATAGATAGATAGATAGATAGATAGATAGATAGATAGATAGATAGATAGATAGATAGATAAGGCTAAAGATGGAGATAGATAGATAGATAGATAGATAGATAGATAGATAGATAGATAGATAGACAGACAGACAGACAGACAGACAGACAGATAGGGCTAATGATGGAGATAGATAGATAGATAGATAGATAGATAGATAGATAGATAGATAGATAGATAGATAGATAGACAGACAGACAGACAGACAGACAGACAGACAGACAGACAGATAGATAGATAGATAGATAGATAGATAGATTAATATAATAATAAAATAATAATAAAACCACCCTGCCCCGTCAAATGGTTCACATGAGCCATTTAATGGGCTCCATCCCGCTCTGGGTTCCCTAGGCCCACTGGCAGAACCAGGTCTTCAGCGCCTTTTGGAATTACATTTATTATTACATATAATATTACATGTAATGAATAATATTAAAAATATCGTATATTCAGGTGCTTTGTTATACATGCCAAGCAGTGGTGGGTTCCTCCTGGTTTGGCCCAGTTCTGCCGAGCCGGTAGCGGTGACGATATGACGTCACTGAACCGGTTCTGCCCCCCTGCTGCCCCCCCGCGTTATTCTTACCTTTTATTTGGTCCCACCCCCAATCTATTGCTGCCTCCTGAGTCCCAGCTGATCGACTAGAAGGAAAAAAACTGTTTAAACTCTTGCCGTGGGGCTTCAAAGGGCCGCCCTACAGCTGATAAGTGTTAAAAGGCAGTGTGGTGGTAGACCGGTGCCTCCAAAAACAAATGAGTAGACCGGTGCCTGCAAAAATAAATGGGTACACCAGTGCCTCCAAAAATAAATGAGTAGACCGGTGTCTCCAAAAACAAATCAGTAGACCGGTGCAGCTCTGCAAGCAGTTAAAAGCCTGGTAGACCAGTACCTCTGCTAAATCCTAAAGAATTGTCACATGACCATCAGGCCACGCCCACAAAATAACCCACGCCCACAGAACCAGTAGTAAAAAAAATTAGAACACACCCCTGATGCCAAGTAAGTTTATGATAGGTTCCAGTGGTCCTGCTTTTTTCATAAACTGGAGTAATTTAGTATAAGAAATATATATATATATAATGAGTTAGAAAACACATCTGAAGTTTACAACTAAATTCCTCCAGCTAAGTTTGATTTACAAAAGACTTTGAATGTGATGTATGGAATCCTTATCCATATCTCATGTTTAATGTATAATGCCATGCCTCTAACTGAAGAACTAAATGGATTAGTTGGTCATCAGGTTATGTAGTAAAATGAGTAAAATTCACATTCATGGGGATTTATATGGCAAATACAAATAAAGATAATTTTGTTTTATGTATAGGTTTATGTATATGTATATAATATAAAGCTTTAGGCTTTATATATTATAGGTAACTGAAGATATCAAAGCAGTTGCAGAAACATATAGTGAATAATATTTTCACATAATGAGGGTCTGCTTGCCTGCCTGCCTGCCTGCCTGCCTGCCTGCCTGCCTGCCTATCTATCTATCTATCTAATTAGTTTTATGGTTTTAAATGTGGTTTTTATATTCTGGAGGGCCTCCTTGAGTCGCCATGGGCGAATAGGCGGCAATATAAATTTGATTGATAGATAGATAGATAGATAGATAGATAGATAGATAGATAGATAGATAGACAGACAGACAGATAGATAGACAGATTGATTTTTGTATAAGCACCATTTGATAAAATTGTATTTACTTATCTCTTAAATAATAAGAGATAAGTAGATACAATTTTATCAAATCGTGCTTTGCATTTAATATGCAAAGTGATTCTAGGTGGCTTAACCATAATATAAATATTAATAGCCCTTAGACTTATATACCACTTTACAGTGCTTTACAGCCCTCTCTAAGCGGTTTACAGAGTCAGTATATTATCCCCAACAATTTGGGTCCTCATTTTACCTACCTCGGAAAGATGGAAGGCTGAGTCAATCTTGAGCCTGGTGAGATTTGAACTGCCAAATTGCAGGCAGACAGCAGTCAGCAGAAATACTGCACTCTAAACCACTGCAATACCATGGCTCTAAAATTATCAAAACTATTTAAAAATCCTTAAGACTATTAAAATTATTAAAAACTAGATTGAATTGTGTGGCTCTGTTATTTAATGTGCACTTTTTAAATATTTCATGTCATTTAATATAATATTTTGTATGTGATATAAAGTGCTTTATGCACATTGCTTCCCTAACCTTTCCCATCCCTGATATTATTCTACCACTCTCAAAATACAAACCATAAGAATACGAGTACATTAGATTTTTCTGCTTGTACATCCAGTCTACTCCTTAAAACTACCTTGTTCAGAGTCTCATCAAACAGCTGGCTTGCAGACTTTCCCTCCTCATTGGGGTTAAGTTGGTATCCAAAGTTTTCAGGATTGTGGGGTGTCATTTTTTCCCTGACATTTTGAATTAAATACCAGCCATTCTGATCAGTCTGATTGAATGGATTTAGACGAAGTTTGAACTTTTTAAGGTATTCACGTACAATTCTGTGAAGGGAAAAAGAAACCCAGATTTATTTGTGAACTTATTTCTTTATCACAGCAAGAGAAAAACACAAATTTGTCAGATTAAGGATTGTTCTGCTCTAGCTTTATCTGGTTCTCAATGACCACCGAGGACAATTGTCTGTCCCTACCATTGTTCTCCTGGAATTGCACCTTAGAAACAGACTGATCATTATCCAGGTAATAGCTTGCAATCCTAATGACTACCGTATTTTTCGGAGTATAAGACGCACCTGAGTATAAGACGCACCTTAGTTTTTGGGGAGGAAAATAAGAAAAAAACTGATTGGCAAGTGGATCAGCCTCCCAGAATACCCCCAATCAGCTGTTCCTAGAGGTGAATTTTAGCAACAGGTTCCTTGATTGTGAGCTCTGTGCCTTGCTTTTTTTTTTTTTTTTGCTTTTTTTTCTGCCTCTGAAACTTCTGAAACTCTGTTTCAGAAAAAACTTTTTTTCTGCCTCTGAAAGCCTCCGAAACAGAGCTTCAGAAAAAAAAAGCCTCTGAAGCTCTGTTTGGGGGCTTCTTTTCTGAAGCTTCGTTTCTGGTGCTTTTTTCAGCCTCTGAAACCTCTGTTTGAGAAGCTGGGCGGGGCTACATTCGGAGTATAAGACGCACCCAGATTTTCACCCTCTTTTTTGGGGGGGAAAGGTGCGTCTTATACTCTGAAAAATACAGTACTTGCTTTGATAGCAAAGCAAGATCCTCCATTAATTGGTATAACCCCCACTATAAAATTATATTTTTAAAAAAGTTTCACACCTCAGCTTTCCATGACAGAAACAGTCTTTATAGGAGAGTCAAACAGTTTCAAGGAAGTATCTATCCTTAATTTAATACAAAAGTTTGAAATAATAGTACAGTTTCCAAAATTACACAATTCTAGTCTTATTCTCTGGAACTCTCCACCACCATCCAAAATCTAGCTGGCCTTGACATAGCTGGCATTTCTGAAAACTTTAAAAATGTGGCCATTTCCCCAGGTTTAGGACATTGACTCAGCCCATGAAATTGGCTACCACTACCACTCGAGATTTATGGCTATTGCAGGGGTGGGCGTCAAAAATTTTAGTAAGGGGTTCTCTGCCTGGTTGCTGGGTGGGTGTGGCCATGATGGGTGTGGCCTAGTCGGCCTCCTGCACCACAGCAGGGGGAACGTTTTTGCCCTCCCTGGGCTCCAGAGGCTTTCCTCAAGCCTCCAGGAGGGTGAAAACAGCCTGCCCAGGCTTTGGAGGGCCTCTGGAGGCTGGAAATGGGCCTGTTTCCTGCTTTCCCAAACTTCCAATAGGCCCGTTTTTCACCCTCCCCGAGCCTCCATGCGTGCCCTGCACTTACCTGCATCCAAAATGGGCCACATGGGGATTCCTGAGAGGGGAGGGGTGGCCAGCCAGAGGTGGGATTTGGGGGTTCTCCAAACTGCACAGATCTTAGCTAGAGGTTTTCCCGAACCCCTGCGAACCCCCAGCAGCCCACCCCTGGGCTATTGTTATTAGATGTCTTTAAATGAGTTTTACTTTTATATGGGCCACCCAGAAATGATGTTGCAATATGTACTAGTGCAAGCTTTCTGGATAGTTTTCAGAGCCAAGTCCTTATCAACACAACTGTTGTCCTGTTCCAGTAAGCAATTTAACGGTTCTCATTTTTCTAACAATATACCTAGCATTTCAGGAAGGCAACAATTTATTAAATGTGAATGAATTTGCCTCTCACATCAGATGATGGATGGAGAAAGACCTTTCAATCAACCTTACCTGTGAGTTTTGGGCAATCGCATCGGTCCCACATCCACATACCAGTCGTCTTCTCGGTGAGTCTTTATGCGTCCTCCCACACGGTTACTGGCTTCCAAGATTACAACCTAGGAGAAAAGAGTACCGATGAAGAATGGATTGTTCTAATTTCCCTCTCTTCTCATTAAGTGTTTGGTGATCTGTACCTATGTCTGCCTCCCCTTGCAAATCTCCCTTTGATTTCACACGAGCCTTGATTTACCTTTGCAAACCCTTATTGGCTGAAGTTATATTCTCTGTTGGCTATTAATATATTAGAGCAATTATTATAAAATTTGATACTTTAATTCCTCCTCCTCCTCCTCCCTCTCTCAAAGCCTACTGCAACAAGTCCCTACAGTTTTATTGGCAAAGTATTTGCAGAAGTGATTTGCCATTGCTTCCTTCCAGGGTCTGAGAAAGAGAGACTGGCCCAGGGACATCCAATTGGCTTTGAACCTAAGGCAGAACTAGAACTCACAGTCTCCCAGTTTCTAGCCTGCTGTCTTAATGTCTACACTATACTGGCTCCTCTAGGAGACCATCAATTAAATCAAAAATTCAGATAATTGAAGTAAATATTCACAAATAATAATTAATTTTTAGTCTTTATATTATTCAGGCTGCAGGCTACTTCTGCTGATCATTGGCTGCCAGCAGTTTGGCAGTTCATGTCTCACCAGCTCAAGGTTGACTCAGCCTTCCATTCTTCAGAGGTCGGTAAAATGAGGACCCAGATTGTTGGGGGCAATATGCTGACTCTCTAAACAGCTTAGAGAGGCTGTAAAGCACTCCGAAGTGGTATATAAGTGCTATAGCTAAGCGCTAAGTCTATACATCAAATATTATAGAAGTAGTTCTCAACTTACAACCATGATTGGGACCAGAATTTCCATTGCTGAGCAAGGCAGTTGTTAAGTGAGGTGTGCCCAATTTTACCATTTTTTGCCATGGTTGTTAAGCAAATCACACGGTTGTTAAGCAAACCCAGCTTCCCCCATTGACTTTGCTTATCAGAAGCCAGCTGGGAAAGTTGCAAATGGTAATTCACATGACCATCATAAATACATGCCAGTTGCCACACATCCAAATTTTGATCATGCGACCATGTGGATGCTGTTGTAAGTATGAGGACTGGTCATAACTCACTTCTTTCAGTACCGTTGTGACTTCAAAAGGTCACTAAACAAACAGTTGAAAGTCAAAGACTACTTCTACTTGCCCATCCCAATGACTCCTTGTGTTCAGAAACCATCCCAAACACATGTAATTTGCCTTTTTATCAGCTGAGTAAAAAGGCAATTGGGTAATTACCTGATGTCCAGCTTCTCTGAGTAATTTGGCGGCAGTCAATCCACTAATTCCTGCTCCAACAATCACAATGGTCTTAGGTTTCAAGGTCTTTCTTAGACCATCCCTGGCAGTAGCCAGCCAGTTTTCATATTCAGGCTCCTTGAAACAGTCTTCCACATTGGTAACATGATTTTCTGATCTGGGCACACCCAGGAATAGTACCAAGAGAAGTAGTACTAGAAATAAGCAAAAACAGGTAATAATTTATCTTTACCCTAAATATCTCTTTTATTCTTTACTTATATCTACTTCACTTGCATCTTACCGCTTTTGAATATTTTAGAGTATGGATAATAATTGAAAAAAATTGCAACATGGAGTCCATTTTGTCACAGTTTGGAACATTTGAATCCCTTTGGCTCCTCCCCCAATTTTTTGTTCTTATCCCCAGCAGCTAATCAGCATGTCTACTGGGCATCCTCTTTGGGAGAGGGGAGAAACAGATATTTTTGGGTGTAGTGGTTAAGGCATAGGACTACAAACTAGGAGGTGGTAAGCTCTAGTCCCGCTCTAGGCACAAAGCTTGCTGGGGAACTTTCAGCCAGTCACTCTCCCTCAGCTGTAGGAAACAGGGAATGGTAAACCACTTCTGAAGCTGTTGCCAAGAAAACTGCATGAGCGTGTCTATGTTTTGACAAGGACTGGGCAAAGGTGAAATCCAGCAGGTTCTGATAGGTTCTAGAGAACTGGTAGCGGAAATTTTGAGTAGTTCGGAGAACTTGTAGTGGAAATTTTGAATAGTTCGGAGAACTGGCAAATGCCACCTCTGGCTGGCCCCAGAATGGGGTGGGAATGAAGATTTTGCAATAGTCTTCCTTCAAGAGTGGGGAGGGAATGGGGATTTTGCAGTATCCTTCCCCTACCATGCCCACCAAACCACCGGTAGCAAAAAAAATTGGTTTTCATCACTGGGACTGGGGTTAATATTAATGTAAGAACATTCCCACCAGCCATATCCAAAAAAATCTAGCTAATTCTATTAATAATCCAGTATGATTTTTATGAAAAGTCTTGGGTATGGTTGGAAATGAAAAATCGTGTTAATGATGGGTTAAAATATTGTTGATGATGGATTTCCCAAAAAAATTCAATATAAAGGCAAGCCAATTGGATGTGGAATCACACCCTTATATTAGAATTAGAATTAGAATTAGAATTCTTTATTGGCCAAGTGTGATTAGACACAGAAGGAATTTGTCTCCAGTCCATAAACTCTCAGTGTACATACGACAATAGTGATAGATCATTATCATAGTCATTATCATAGTCATTGTAAATATATATTCCATGTGTTTTGCAATATACTGTAACACAGAGGATTTTTTAAAATACATTTTATGCAGTTGAATTTATAATATTGTAATTATCCTGAGGAATTCCAAATTGTTTTCAATAATTTGCACAAAGTTAAAAATAATCTAAATCCAATTAATTATGTTTCTGTAACATTTAAATTATATGGCTGCTCATCTTATGTAAGCAGCACTGAGTAGTTTATATAGTTAAAGCCAATAATATAATAATACAAAGTAAAAATTAAAACGTAATGGAATCCAACAAGAATAAACAAAAATGTGGCAGCCCTGATATGTCACTTTTCCCTGTTCTTCAACTCCCATGCTATTCTAAGATTTCCTCTTATGATCCATGATCTAATAAACTTATTTTTGAAATTAATTGAGGGGCAAAACAAAAGCTTTCTACTTGAATGATGTAATTATAATAATTCTGCATCCTTTATTCTGTCATTTCATAGCTTCTATCTCACTTGCGTTTATGAGATTTGGAAAACCCCACAAAAGATCTAAAAATGAGTAATCAAAGAAGATCTGTGCCATGAATTTCCATTAGAAAATTTGCTTTATAGCAGCACTACAGCAGAAGATAAAATAATTGGAGGAATGCAAGTACTAATATGCTAAGTTTTTTTTTATTCGATATGTGGCAAAATATCTTAAATCAACAATCTTTCATTTATTCCACTACACAGAGATACACACAAATTTCAGCTGATGCCACTTTAGAAGTGGGCATTCCAAGTCAAATACTTCTGGCAATGGGATCCAAATATTCTATTTAAAAAATTTTAACTGTGGGAATTCATCCTACTGGATTCACAGTTAACCTACTAGTTTAATAAAAGGTTGGTTGGTTCATTCATTTATACAAAATCAGATTATTGGTCTGCTTAATCCTAACGGTTCCTAATATGGTGTCTTCCATACATTGACTTCTCCTATCATCACTCAGCATGGCGCAGTGTATCACAGAAAAACGAAATAATAAAAATAAGTTTAGCTTATTCTACTACACAGAAACACAACTCCTGTTCTCCTCAGATCTTTTTCAATAGAAAGATCAGGGGCTTAATCTCTGGCTTCATAGGCTTATTATAATACTGAGTTACAAATAATTATGCATTTTAACCTGTATTGGAAACTCAGAACAAGATAATTCACTTACAGAAGGACTCCATCATCTTTCCATCAGTTGATTGCACTGACTGTATTTTATGGAGAGCAAATAGTGCTGAATAGCCTAGTAATGTGGTTGAGAATCCAAGAAAACTGGCTTTCTGACATAAAACCTTTCTCTTGTTTTATAATGCAATCACTACGCCCAGGGCTATTCCAGCAAATGATGGTTCATGACACCTGATATGCTTAAGCAAATTTAGGATTGTACACATTCTATAGCAACAATGCCATGTCGCGAATTCCTAGAATATTGCATAGGAAATGCATAAGTTATTTTTATTGCTTTAAAAGTAATAACAGAAAAAGAAAATTAATAGAAGAACAATTGTAGTGTAGATACATACATTCTCAAAAAAAAAGAAACCATGCATAAAAAGTGCTTTTTTAAAAAAGTGAAAGAAAAACAAAAAATAAATTTAAAAAAACCCAAATTATAATATATTGTTAAAACAGTTCTACAATTCTGCAATATATACTTACCTATTACAAATATTATTCAGGTTCACACACACACACACACATATACATATACATACACACATCTATATAACTATCATTCATCTTTAACTTATTGTACTTTGTATAAATGCATGCCATATATTCTTTGAATTAGCCATACAAAGTCTACATCTTTAGGCAGTCTACCATAGGTGGCAATAATGACTTCAATCCATTGGGTAAATTGGACCGTACATTTATCTTTCCAATGCTGCATTATCAATCTTTCGGCCATAGTAAGGGCATGGAGAATCCATTTACATTGCCCAACTGTCAAATTTTATGAAATAAATGTGTAATTTGAGAGAATATTATTTTCTGAACATTTTAATTTTTGTCACACAGTCATATTAGTAATTAATCCACTACTTTCCCCCAAAACGTAATAAGTATAGGACATTGTAAAAAATATGTGCCTTAAAGAAGCATTATCCTGATTACATCTCCAACAAAATATTGTCCTAGCAAGGCGGGGGCAGGGCCAGTGGTGGGATTAGCCCCAACCGGCTGAATCCTACCTCTGCCTTTGAGGCAAGTGGCCGAGAGGCGGGGCTAGGTGTGATGAGTGACATCACCCACCCAGTCACATGACCACCAACCACACCCACCCAGCCAGTCATTAGGGCAGAGAACCAGTTGTTAAAAAATTTGAAGCCCACCACTGTTCAAATTTCACCAGGCTCAAGGTTGACTCAGCCTTCCCTCCTTCTGAGGTCAGTAAAATGAGGACCCAGAGTGTTGGGAGCAATATGTTGACTCTGTAAACTGCTTTGAGGGGGCTGTAAAAGCACTATGAAGTTGAATATAAGTCTAAGTGCTATTGCTAATGATTACCGTTCAGTTGCATTCACTTCCATTATGATGAAGTGTTTGAGAGATTGGTAAAGGACTGTATGGTTTCATGCTTTCCCCCTATATTTGACTCATTAGTTTGCCTATTGCAAGAACTGCTCTATAAAAGATGCACTTTCCTGTGTGCTTCATCTTAGCTTGGGCGCACCTGGAGGAGAATACTCATGTGCAAATGCTGTTTGTTGATTTTACTTTGGCATTCAACACATTCATTCCTTAGCATTTGGTAAACAAACTGGGCCTATTAGGTTTAAATACTTCTTTATCCAGTAATTGTATACTGGATATCTTTATTGATAATACCCACATGAGTTTCTGCGAGTTGAAAAAAAAAGTTTCTGGCTCCATCTCCTTGAGTATGGGTTCCCCACAGGATTGTGTCTTGAGTCTGCTACTGTTCACCTTGATGACCCACGACTGCTGTGCCAAATCTGCTATGAATCTTATTGTGAAGTATGCGGTTGACACAGCAATGGTAGAACCAGGGGTGAAATCCAGCAGGTTCTGACAGGTTCTGGAGAACCGGTAACAGAAATTTTGAGTAGTTCAGAAAACCAGCAAATACCACCTCTGGCTGGCCCCAGAGAGGTGTGGGAATGGAGATTTTGCAATATCCTTCCCCCAGGAGTGGGGAGGGAATGGGGATTTTGCAGTATCCTTCCCCTAGAGTGGGATGGGAATGGAGATTTTGCAATATCCTTCTCCTGCCATGCCCACCAAGCCACACCATACCCACCAAGCCACGCCCACAGAACTGGTAGTAAAAAAATTTGAATTTCACTATTGGGTGGGACGTATCCGGGATGACAATGAAGATGCTTATGGGGAAGGGGTAAAGTCTGGTGGTCTGGTGCAATAAAAGTAACCTGGTTCTAAATGTTAATAAAACAAAGGAGATCATTGCAGACTTTAGAAAGAGCCGGCATGGTCATACTCCACTCCGTATCAAGGATATAGCTATAGAGATGGTCAACAGTATTAAGTACCTGGGGGTGCAGATAAATAACCATCTGAACTGATCTCTCCATATGTCATTGTGTGATTTTAAAGTATTTCTAGCAGGACTACCAGATTCTGTAACAGCTTTGTTCCCTATGCCATCCATCTGGTAAACTCACAAGATTCGTTTTTCTCACCATGTACATGTATACATCCGGACGAGACTGTGTTGTTTCTCTGTGTCATATAATATATGTGGATATATGCATAATTTTGTATTGTGTTTATTTATTTATGTAATGTATATTTTGGAAGTAATGACCTTTTGAGAGCTGTATGCAACAAAATTTCATTTTAATATATGCCGATTAGTGTACATTCAAAGTGACAATAAAGTTATTCTATTAACATACTAAATATTCATTGTGTATTAGTTGGTCCAAAGTCAAATGCCCGCTTCCATCAACATTTTCCATATTACCATCTATTTCCCAATTTTTATAATTGAGTTTTCCCATAAAGTCAATCTAGCATGGAAAAAGGAGTCAAATCTTCTTTTACTAGACATTACATTTCATAATTTTCTAACTGACATAATTGTTTCCAGACATACTAGAGTTCTACTGTATTTTGATAATCATACCATCCATTCAATCAAAGGTGATATATATTTAAATTCCAAAGTTGTCCAAATTGGAAAATTAACACCAACTCTTGGTTTCCAATATTTAATATTTGATAATAGGTAAGTATGATTATATAGCTCCAGATTTGGAAAACCAAATTCTTCTGTGTTAATTGGTAGTTGCATTTTGTGCAATATTCTTGGAATCAAGGAATCCAAGAATATGGGATATTTTCTAAGCACATGACCTGGGATTCTCTCAGAATAAAAATTAATCTGGGAATAAGATTCATTTTGAAAGTGTTTACCTTTCCCCCAAGGGTAAAGTTTAATGACTCCCATCTATCAATATCAGAATTGCATATTTCATTTTAAGACTATTTTAGGAATGACAGATAATGTAGAAAACCTCTATAAAGATCTATCTGAACATTATGCAATACCTAAAAATGTGGACATACCATTGCTTTGTATATAAGAACATTACAATGTTGGCATCTTTATTTGCAATCTGGCATTCTGAAGAAAGTCTAAAAGACTGGTTTGACACCTTGTAGAATTTATGATGATTTTTCTTCACAAAGGACTAATTTCCAGGCCTTTAGCACTGAGCCATATCTGAGTGACAATTTATATTTTCTCACTTAGAAAATATATCAATAATTTCCCATTTGAGTTTTCTTTAATATATTTCAGGTGGATGCCATTAGAACTCAGAGGTTTGTTACAATAATCAATATTTTGTGACTGCCTTCTTTTTAAATCTCGAAAAACTACTGGATCCCCAGAAATTTCTGGATGTTCAAATGCAAAGTAACCAATGTGGAATGGTTCATTGGGTGGAGTGGCTTAGAAACCCCACAGTTGTGGATTTTAAGCTCACATTCCTTTGGAGTTTAATTGCACATCATTCTATATGAAAAGTATTTCCAATTCAACCATTATTTTCTTCAAATAAGATTAAGAAAGATATGCGTGCCTGAGGCAGTGGATGGATGGAGCAACACCACGCATGAGGCAATTTTTAATGGGCCTGAAGGAGAGGTGGGTTTCAGCAGGTTCTGACCAGTTCTGGCGAACAGGTAGCGGAAATTTTGAGTAGTTCGGAGAACCGGTAGTAAAAATTCTGACTGGCCCCGCCCCCATCTTTTCTCTGCCTCCCTAGTCCCAGCTGATCAGAAGGAAATGGGGATTTTGCAGTAACCTTTCCCTGGAGTGGGGAGGGAATGGAGATTTTACAGTATCCCTCCCCTGCCACACCCACCAAGCCATGCCATGCCCACCAAGCCACACCCACATAACTGGTAGTAAACATTTTTGAAACCCACCACTGGCCTGAAGCATGATTCAAATGCTTTTTATAAGACTGATATCCTGGCAAATGAAGAGGTAAAATAAAGTAAAAGTGTATGTTAGCGAAAAATAGGGAGCATAGATGTCATTAAAGTGCTTTAAAACCAATGGGTTACATCAGTGATTTTCAAACCTATCTTTTTGTCTTAGAATGTACTTCCTTCCGTCCTTCCTCCCATCCACCCATCCACTCATCTATCACGTTTATATAGCCACCCATCTCACAAGAAGCAAATCTAGGTGGCATACAATAAACATCTTAGTAATATTATAAGCATCTAATTCTCCTTAAGTTTAAACTGCAGAATGTTTACTTGATTGGTCTCTATGTCCCTTTCTGGAATTTCTAAATTTATTTGACTGTTGAATGATGGTAAATTTATTGGGGGAATATATTTCAATTGCACTTTTGAAGATAAGATTGTGGCTATTTTTTCATTTTCCAATAATGTTATTACATTTTGCAAAGCACACACAGCATAAACTAACAATCCAGAGAAACAATAAGTTTTTTAAAAAAAGAATATGAATAGAAGTGTAAAAAAAAAGAAAGAAAGAAAAAGAGCGGAAAACATAAACATACAGAAAGAATAACTTCCGACTTTTTTCAAGGATATAAAGAATGTTGACATTCAAATCTTAGTTTAAGACTAAAATAAAATATGTACATTTTCCTCCCAAAAGAAAAGGGAAAATTAAAAAAAAAACATTTTTCCCTTTTGTAAATATTGACAATCATCAAATTCATATGTCAAAATTAGATTTTCTCCATCACCTGCAAAAAGTCCACAAAGTCCACAATTACAGATGAATTTTTTCATCAATTTTCCTCTCATCAGGGCTGTTAATGTGCAAGGGTGGGATTCAAAAATTTTAGCAAGGGGTTCTTTGCCCGATTGCTGGGTAGGCATGGCCATGGTGGCCGTGGCCTAGTCGGCCTCCTGCACCATGGCAGGGGGGGGGCGTTTTTGCCCTCCCCGGGCTCCGGAGGCTTTCCTCAAAAGAAGGCTCTGTAAAGCCCAGTCAAACAGTAAGGGAGCAGATCAGAGGTGGGCTTCAAAAATTTTAGCAAGGGGTTCTCTGCCTGGTTGCTGGGTGGGTGTGGCCATGGTGTGGGGAGGTTTGCCCTTCCCGGGCTCTGGAGGCTTTCCTCAAGCCTCCGGGAGAGCGAAAACAGCATCCCCAGGCTCCGGAGGCCCTCTGGAGGCTGGAAACGGGCCCATTTCTGGCTTTCCTGAACTTTTGGTAGGCCCATTTTTCGCCCTCCCCAACCCTCCACACATGCCTTGCACTTACCTTCATCCAAGACGGGCTGTGTGGGGACTCCTGGGAGGGGTGAGCGGGGCGGGGCCAGACAGGAGTGGGATTTGGGGGTTCTCCAAACTGCACAGAATCTTAGCTAGAGGTTCTCCCGAATCCCCAGCAGCCCACCCCTGTTAACATGGCCATCGTTGCCCATTCTGTCATCTTTATTAACCATTTGTCTACTGTAGATATCCTAGGATCTTTCCAACTCGGAGCATATAAAAGTTTATTACCGTAGCAATAAAACATCTCACGATTTTTCACATTGTTTTATCCATAACAGTAACCCCTTAAATATTTTACCTGTTTTTCAATCTTAAAGCCTGTTTTATTCATTAATTCTAACTGGTCATTTTGTACCGTGTTTTTGGTTTAAAAAATTTTGTCTTCTGTTTATTAATCTTAAATCCAGCTACTGCTTCGGAGGTCAAAGACAACCTGTATAGCCAGAATGTGGTGACCTATGAGCCAATTGTGATTCAGAAAACTGACTTTCTCAACTGAAACTTTTTCAGTGACCAAACATTCCTAAGATAGAATCCTTAGTTGCACACCTACTTGGAACAAGTACTATGGGGAATTCCATGCCACAGTCACACACAATTTACCAATTAACCATTGAGGTCTCACGTATTGCAAAATTTTTAAAAAAGCCTTTAAAGGAAACAAAAAGTCTTTAAAGGAAACAAAAATACGCAAAGTTTTAGCAACAATCTAAATGACAAAGAATGTCTCCCCTTTTGCTCAGTGCCCTTTCTGAAAGCGAGACCTAGTATAAGGGCCTAATAAAAAACGGGGAGAAGAGTGAAGATAAGTCTTTTCATGAAGAAGAAAGCTTGGAAGTTACTGCGTAACTTGCTCTACCAGGGGTTGCCTGGCCACATTGCTCTGCTATTTGTTGATTGATTAATGTAGATTAGATTAGACTAGGTTCTAGAAAGGTTGAGAAATATTTTAATGAATTAATTTAATGAATGTAATTAAACATATTAATAATTGACATTATTCATTCATTATAGAATACCTTATTGTTACATGGTGTATATAACATGGGCTATATTGTCTTATATTACATTTCTAAAATAACATCTAATATCTACCAGAATGTTAGAATTAGCCCTGCCTTTCTAACAATATCTTGGGGAAGGAAATTCTTGTATACAGGTCGTCTTCAACTTACAACCATTCATTTAATGATAGTTCAAAGTTACAACAACAGTGAAAAAAAGGGACTTTGGGTTGTTTTTCACGATTGTTACAGCATGCTCATGATCATGTGATCAAAATTTGGATACTTGGCAACCGGCATGTACTTGTGACCAGTGGTGGGTTCCTCCCAGTTCAGACCGGTTCCGCCAAGCCGGTAGCAGTGACGATATGACGTCACCGAACCGGTTCTCCCCCGCACCCCTGTCCCCCCGCGTTATTTTTACCTTTTATTTGGCCTCACCCCCAATCTATTGCTGACACCTGAGTCCCAGCTGATCAGCTAGAAGGAAAAAAACTGTTTAAACTCTTGCCGTGGGGCTTCAAAGGGCCGCCCTACAGCTGATCAGTGTTAAAAGGCAGTGTGGTGGTAGACCAGTGTCTCCAAAAACAAATGAGTAGACTGGTGCCTGCAAAAATAAATGGGTAGACCAGTGCCTGCAAAAACAAATGAGTAGACTGGTGCCTGCAAAAATAAATGGGTAGACCAATGCCTGCAAAAACAAATGAGTAGACCAGTACAGCTCTGCAAGCAGTTAAAAGCCTGGTAGACCAGTACCTCTGCTAAATCCTAAAGAATTGTCACATGACCATCAAGCCACGCCCA